TACACAACGTGCCAAGGTGTCCAGCTGTTGATCAAGCATTTTGCATTGTGCAAGAGAAGGGCTAACGGAGGAGGGTGCTCTCGGTGCAAGCGGATGTGGCAGCTTCTTAGACTCCACTCCTCAATTTGTGACCAGCGTGATTCTTGCCGGGTGCCTCTTTGCAGGTATAATTAAAAATTATCACTATTTGTCATCAGTATATCTATCGTTTAAATGATAGCATTGTGATTTTTATTGTTAGGGTCAAGTATTTTTTAAAAGCATGTGCAAATCGTGTTCTAAGAAAAATATGGAACCTCTATCTTTTTCCCGGGTCTTATCTAGTGTAATTGCTAGGTTGTTTTCGCTTCTTTAAATCAGTAACCATTCAATGTATTTGGAGGGGCCAATGGACCCGTTGCCAAGCTCTAGCGTTTTCCAAAGACCACAGGCCAGGCTAGGGCCTTTAACCCTTTTGTGCGACCTTAGGCTAGGACCTCGGAAGGAGTTTTACATGTGATAAATAAAACTTGACGGGTAGGCTTTGAATATTGCGTTTTTTTTTTTTTTTTTGGGGGGGGGGGGGTTGGATTTTTTTCCTCAGTTTTCTTCCTACTTTTTGAGTCTATTCTGGAATCTTTTTAGTTTAATTTAGTCTAAACAAAGCAGATAAAAAAAGTTTATAGTAAAAAAAGTTTGGCTTAATTCTTGTTTGTTTGTATTGCTTTGATTCATTAATGTCCACATCCCTGCCAGGTAAACTGGTCGTTGGCATGTCCCAATCACTTTCAACTCTACCTTTGATATTTTAACTCAATTATAGGTTAATATTTGTTAATTTCCTATACAAACAAAACTTCTATTACGAGAATTATGGATGTATATGTCCCCATAAAAAATCAATCAAAACAACTGCTACATCAACTTTTCATTGGAGGCATGAAAAAAAAAAGAGCATAGGTCAGGCTACTGAAAGGCCAACACAAATAAACGACAAGAAAAAGAAAATTTAGGATCGTCTTTCTATTGGTAATGAAGACTAGACGTCCTCCAATTCGACTCACTCTTTATTGGCTAGTGAGGGCCGCATGTCTACAAAGTTTGAAAGATGTAAATGATCAAGTTGTAAACCTGCTGTTTAGCCAATTAGACAGGATGTGCCTTTTATGGGGCCACTTCCTTTGCAACGTGCGGACGGGGATGGACACTTGTCCATTCTTACTACTGGGAACTATAATTATCTTCGGAAATGGTTGTTGGTGGCTTGTTTTCTCAACAGAAAATAAGAGATGGATCTCCTCGGTCTCTTAAAAAATATCAGCTTGGTGGGTCTTAAAAGTCCCATTTTTGTGTCATTTTCTAGTATACCATTTTTCCTTGGCTGGTCTATTTCTTCTTTTCAATTTAGCAATGGATATCAATAACTCCAACTGTTTTTTTTTTTTTAATCCCTCAGCATTAAATACTGTTGCTTTGTAAATGTGACAGGCAATTCAAATTGAAGGCGCAACAACAGAGAATGGGTGATGATACACGGTGGAAGCTACTTGTGAGGAAGGTCTTGTCAGCAAAAACTATTTCTTCTCTATCTCTGCCCAAGAGAAAGAGGGAGGAGGAGCTGAGGGAAACAGTGGGTGGTCATGCACTGAGAACCCTCAGATTATGTTGAGCTACGTTACCATAGAAAGAAGTTAGTGCTCTAATTAAGAGGAGCAAGTTATATTCTTTTATTCATATGAGAGAAAATTGTGTCCTGGTGTCCTGTATATGGAGTGAGTTTTTTTGCCTAGCTAGCGTCATCCTCTAATGATGGGGAGTGCGAGAGCGTTTGTATCCAAAGCAAGATGATGTAAATGGAGTGGTCTACTTGTAAAAATTGTAAACCTCTCCATTATCTGCAGATGAAAATCGTTTATGAAAGTCCAATTTGGCTTCTGTGTCGTCATCTGCGGTCAATTAGATGAATCATGTAACTTTGATTGAAAAATTATTATTGGAGATTAATTTGATGCATCCACAAGAATATACTAATTATATGTAAAAGGATGCATAACTGTGTTCCACGATTTTTGACCAACATACGCTTAACTTAACTTTTAATACTTTTATGTCTGCACTAAAGACTCGCGTAACATATGCATTGAATTGCATCAAACAATGTCAATGTCAATTCGTATTTCAATTTTGGCTTAGGCATTGAAACTTTGACCAGCATTTACATATACGCTTTTGATGATATTAATAGTATTACTATAAATTTCAAATACGTAAATAAACTTACAGATTACAAAATGTGGAAGGAAAACCATGCAAAGAGAAAATCGACGTCACTAGTGATGGCAGCATTTGGTGATGATGACATGATAAGATTAATTCACGAGTCTCTTACCAACTCAAAATGAGATTGGCCCCATATAAATATTATCAGGTACCGGCATGTCTTGTCTCTCAAGGCATTGAAACCTTCACGATTTCCACGCTGAAAAGAGAAAAGAAATGGAAAAAGAAAATTCCTTTTGCTCATAGAGTCATATTACAAACAAAATGCTTATTTTCTTACCAGTGCCATCAAAGAGGAAAGTTCTCAAGGGGAATTGATACATTTTCACAGGTTTCCCTTTCACATCCTCATAGCATATGTAGGCTTTAATTAGCATTGAATTGTTCATGTTGTTATTAACTAGTCAAAGTAAGAAAAGTAAGAAAAGTAAGAAAATGCAAGGGGTTAAACTAAGATCAATTGAGAAACAAATTGATCCAAAATAACCAGTACCTGACAGACACGTACAATGGGTTGAAGCTATTGCAGTCCAAAAGCCAGTTTCATAATTGCAAAAGTGTTGTAAGATGCGCTCATTTTGTCGAGAGAGGAAGAATGTAGGAGATATCATTAAGCAACAGAGGCATCCCACTGCGACCCTACTTGGAAAGTTGGATCCATCATGTAATTCACCTTGCAAAAGATTTTCCTGTTCTCCTTCTTGTTGCAATTTTAAAAGTGTGTATGGGGAATCTTCTTTCTCCCAGGAACTTTTAGAGGTTTCGTGTGGAGGATCCTTGAATATTAAGAATGAGCATTTATGGCTTTTGTAGGTCAAATTTTGCTTTCTTTTATGTAATTCAGGCCGAGGCCGAAAAGGTTAGTAGGACCTGCCCTTCAAAGTGGTAGCACTGGCACTAGGTCTAAATCAAGGCTCAGCTCATAATCAACACGTCTTATTGACAACAATGCTTGGGGTCCCTTAAGAGTAATGATACTCCCAAAACTACCCCAAAAGATTCATTAAGTCTTTGTATTTTTCCGCATGACAAACGAACGGCGATGCAATAGACTTTGTTTCATAAGTGGGTGGCATTTCGAGGTTTGATGATCAAATAAAGGCGATGCGCATATGCTTAGATTTGTGTACTTTAATTAATAGCTTGCTGTGGTAGGGAGTATATTGAATTTTGAGCACCCTTTTACGCAGAAAATAATTCTCAAGTTTTAGTTATTCGTCGGCCCGTTTGGATCTAGATGGGATAACACCTAGCTCGGGATGTTTGCGAAAGATGGGCCTTCGACCGTACTCAAGTCCAAGTCCCGGCTACCACACTAGCAAGCCAGACTACATCAGGGATAGTACGAACTTCGAGCATTCTTCAACTTTTTATGATTCACAGAAATTATGAGCATTTCTTGTTCTGTCTTTGTCATCTTTGTATTATTTTGATCGGGGAAAGCATACTGCTTCACGGGTTGATGTGTAATCATCATATACAAAAAACACTGGAAAGCCCAGCATAAGTCGTTGGATTCTCTTACAATATGCAGACTTAAAAGCCACGAAAGTCAACATCATGTCCAGACACACACTCATATCAAGCTGAAAAACAATCTGAAATTAGGCGTGATATGCAGTTTGACATGAAGTACGTTTTGCAGTGAAAATACTCAATTCTTGTTCATGTAAGTCTAAATCCTATTCAACGTTTAACTAAAAGAAAGAAGATTAAGTTAATGGCATCCTTGTTAGCCTCCATGAACTCCAATCTAAAATTGTTACACTTGCTTAGCTGAATAACCCATGTAGTGGTAGTAGTGAATTTGAAGACAAAGTTGTGCATGTTTCGTGGGGGAAATGGAATTGGAAACAAAAAAAATGAAGTCTTGACTCGAGTAGCAGTACCCCTAGTAATGACAATTGCGGTACAAGTTTAGGCCAGGCTAGAAATGGAATGGTAAGAGGCTGAAAAGGAACTTTCCTTTTGGTTTCAAATGTATAAGAACAAGAGAAATAGAATAGACACAGACCATAGTCATTCAACCCAAAATTTAACCTGAACCTGGGCTTCCGAATTTGGGCCAGACGACAGCTTCTGGAATGGACCAAGTTTTTCAGGTGTGTCCCATCAGGTTCTAAGCCCAGGCCTGTCAAGCTCAGCCTACTCAGTCTCAATAGTTGAAACGACTATAATATGTTTTTCCAAAGGAACAGAAAGGAATAAACAAAATCACGAGGCTCATCACTGATGAAAAATAAATATCTTCTTAAGCGGTGATGAAAAACCTGCACTCGTTGCCCCAAAAAATGGAATCAATCAAGGAATAGGGTAGGGGGTGCGGTCAAGGCGTCAGGGGGCTCAGGGCCCAGGCGACAGCAGGCAGGACGTAGCCGCTAGCTAGTCGGCTTCTCACAAATTTCACACGCTGCCCAATAAATAGACTTCGGCGCTAGCTACCTCTGATTTCACCATTTATTATTTACTCGTACCGCTTCTTTTCCTCACAGTAAAAGAAGTTCAGCTACATCCTGCTAAATACTGTTTTGTTTTTTTCTTTTAATAAATCCACATTCACTGACTTAGTTGACGTCTCGAATTAATAGTATATGAATATGAGCAGTAGGACTATACTTGCATGGATAGCTAGAAA